TTTGAACCACCACCCTTCTGGTGAGCAGTCAAGTGCCTTAGGCACTATGCTACCAGAGCTCCCAAACAATAGGCCAGACTATATCCCACCATGGAAGACTTGGCCCTTTTCTGGCCCTCTCTGGCCAAGTTAGACTTGGGCTTGGGCCTACTGAGACAGGAGCAGTAGGGTTGCCTCGGTTAGGTTATCTGCCTCTGCCATCAGCCTCCCAGCTGGGAAGGCAAACAAAACAAAACAAAACTCTCTCATAATAGCAAATTGTTTATCAGATAAACTTTTCTCTAATATGTGTCGTGTCAGTGACAAATGCAGACCCTGGGCACTACCCTTCTAAGAAATAAAGATTCTGAGCCTGCATGAAAGTTTTATTTTTTCCATGGCCCTTTCTCAGACGGGTAACCTGAGGTTCAGAGAGGCTTTTCAGCTAGTCACCAAAGACCACCACTGGAGGTCACTTTTTAAAAAAAAACAATCAAACTCACTGGAGTCAAGTCAGATCCGACTCCTTGGGTTTCCCAGGTGGCATCACTACAGAAGTACATTGCCCAGTCTTCCTTCCTATGAGTGGCGGGTAGGTTTGAACAGCCAGCCTTCTGGTTAGTAGTCAAATACTTTAGGCACTACGCCACCAGAGCTACTAATGAAAAGGTTATGTTATTGTTGTTAGGTGCCCTGGAGTCGGCTCCGACTCATAGGGACCCTATGTACAACAGAATGACCCTAATAAATTAAGGGGTTAAGACTGGTATTAGGAGACATTCATAGGCTGGGTTTGGCTCCCAATATGATAAGTGGATTTGGGCAGGGCCCTTGCGCCTGTGGACCTCAATTTCTTCATCTATACAATGGGAATAGTAAACTGCATTAAGTGTTGCTAACACTTCAGTTCTCAGCAAAGAGATCCCTCCCACCCGGCCGCTGAGCTCCAAGCGCTGATCAGCCCGACTACAAGCCCCAGCATGCCTTGGAGGGAAGGGCTCAGTGACGGTGAAGCGGTTTTGCGAATTGGAGCCCGCCAAGGGACGCGCGGCGGCGCGTGCGCAGAGGGCGGCGGGCGGGTGGGCTGGCAGCGGTGGACCGTCGGAGCCGCGGGAGGTCAGGTAGGGGGCGGGAAGGAGGGTCGGGGACGACCGACCCCAGCCGGAGTCGCGGAAGATGGCTGAGTGGCGGGGCAGGGGGCTGTGCCGGCATGTAGAGGGCCAGGCCTGCACCCGACTGGCAGGGTTTGGGGATCGGATTTGAGGAGCAAGACCGGGGTGGGGGTGGGGCCGTGAGGGGTAGGCTTCGGAGGAATTCGCTGGGGCTCAGGACCGTAGAGGAGATGCAGCGCCGCGGGCGGGAGCCAGGGTATGGGGTGCGAAGATTGGCGGTGCAACATCTTGGGAGGTATGAGGTAATGTGGGAGCCATGAGGGAAGAAGACGGGGTGCAGCATCTGGTAGGTGTGGGGAAATCTGTGGGCCTTGGAGGGATCTGAGGTGCAAGATTTTGGAAATAAGAGGAAATTTTGGGACCCTGATGAGATTTAGGGTGCAGAACCTCAGGCGATTTGAGAGAATCTTGGGACACTAGGCATTTGGGCCGGCGGGCAAGATCTGAGATCTTGGGGACCAGGGTCTGGGGCGATCCTAATTGCTAACGAGGAAGGGTTTAGAGTAGGGTCTGGTGAAGATTGAAGGGGCAAGTCCTTGGGGAAATCAGTGAAGCAGCATCTTGTCAGCAAAAGGGAGAGACCTGGCTGAGATTTGAAAGCCACCCGTGACATGGGTTAGTGAAAGAGGAAGAAGCAAGGTTTGAAGATGGCATGGTGCCTGATGGACGATAGCGCTTTGGGGCTAAGATCGAGAGAGGGCAGAAATCTGAGGTGTGGGGTCAGGTTGGAAGGAATTGGGGCGCAGGGCTGAATGCCGCAGAGATTCGGAAATGAGGATTAAGAGATCTTTATCAGGGAGTTGGGATGCCAGGGTGAAGAATTGGTGGTTGTAATGTTGAGCCCCAAAGGTTAGAATTTTGTATTGCAAGAGTTTGGAACAATATTTGGAGAACAGACTGTAGAATTAAAGGACTCTGAATAGATTTATGGGTCAGCGATTTGGGCTGCTTGAGGAATTTTCCTGAAATTTCTGCAGGGGGAGCAGAAGAGGTTTTGGGGACCCAAGGACCCAGAAGCAATGTGTGTATGAAGAGTTCGGGGATTCAGGAACAAAGTCCTAAATCTTCAGAGATCAGGACTCCTGAAGAAGCATGGCTTTCCCTCAGAAGGGCAGAATCTCCTTCACTTAGTCAGCAAAGATCCCTCATTATGAGGCTGGCAGGCAAGGTACTGCCACTAACTTCACTTTGACCCAGGCCAGCTGAAAGTGGTAGGCTTGAGGGGAGAAGATACTGGTTGAAGGGAGGATAAAGCAAGAAACTGTTCAAGGTCATCCTCCTAGGTCCCCTGTTCCCTGCTGCCCCCTGAGGAGGGGCTGGTGTATGAGACATCCAGGGGAATGAGTGAAACATTATCTCAGGGCTTGTTTCCCTTACCAGTTAAAAAAGTGGATTGAATTTGATCATATGTAAGACCAATTAAAACCCAAAGAGTCAGTGGCTCTGAATGAGGTCTGTAGGCTGGGAGAACAGAAAGCCCATACTTGAGCATTTGAGCCTTAACCAGTCTCTACAAGAGTGGTTCTTAACCAGAGGGCAGTTTTGTCCCACAGGGGACATTTGGCAATGTCTGGAGATGTTTTTGGCTGTCACACTCTAAGGAGCTCTGTTGGCATAGTGCCTTAGGCATTTGACCGCTAACCAGAAGGTTAGTAGTTCAAACCCACCAGCCACTCCACAGAATGAAGACTGGGCAGTCTACTTCGGTAAAGATCTATCGCCTTGGAAACCCAGTGGGGGTTGCTGTGAGTCAGAATCGACAGGAGTGGGTTTGGTTTTTTTGGTTTAGTGGCATCTAGTGGAAAGAGGCCAGGGATGCTGTTAAACTTACAATGCACAGGACAGCCCCCAGAACAAACAGTTATCGGCCAAAAATGTCAGTAGTGCCAAAGTTGAGGAACCCGGCTCTAGAGCCATATCCTAGATTCAAATCCTGGCTCTGTTTCTTCCTGATTTCAGTGATCTTGAATGAGTTACTTAATCTTTTTGCTTGGCCCTTCATCTGTAAAATGGGCTTCCTGTTGTTGTTGTTATGTGCTGTCGAGTCAGCCCTGACTCATAGCGACCCCTCCTTGGGTTTCCGAGGCAGTATCACTACGGAAGTAGGATTGCCCAACCTTCCTTCCGAGGAGTGGCTGGCGGGTTTGAACCGCCAGCCTTCTGGTTAGCAGTCAAGTGCCTTAGCCACTATGCTACCAGAGCTCCCTATGTTGTTATGTGCTGTCGAGTCAGAGCTCCTTAAGTGATTCTACTATATCCAGTTTTACGCATGGGGAAACTAAAGCTTAGAAAAGGGTAACAACTTATCTAAAGTTCCATAGCTAGAGATTATGTCAGAGCTAGGCTCATATCCAGATCTCTGTAACTGCATCTGCCTTCTTTTCTGTGCCTCTTGTTTGTGGATGCCTTCTTAGTCTTATTATCTCAGTCCATTCCCCTCTAAAGAAAAGGAGGATTGCCCAGTCGGTATCAAGGAATATCAAACAGAACTCTAGGAGGGGGAGTATCGATATGATTAGGTAGGGAGTCATCCTGGACTTTGTTCTTGGTTTGCTAGTAGAGCAGGACCAGTGGGTGGACAAGGGGAGGAGCTTAGGTTAGCAGGCAGGATGAGGTGCATGGGGCTAGAGGGTGAGGTATAGAGGCCCTTGGCTTTTTGAAAAACAAAACAAAGCACCCCATAGCAGGGACTGAAACTGAAAGCAGTCAAAGTCTGCAGGAGAGGATAGTGCTCTGAATGATGTCTTTTGGGCTTCTTTCCCCTGGAACAGGATAGCCACACTGGCACTCTCAGCCCCAGGACTAAGCTGCAGCATTGCTGAAGCCAGTTCAGAAACAGCTGGATTGGATCTGAGGGCAAGAGACTTAGCTGGAATACTCCGCCTTCCCCCAAAGAAAATATAACATGAGAATTGAATAGGCCTGAGAATTAGAGACCTGAAGTCCAGAGTCCTTACTCTGCTGCTAATTTACTATGACCTTGGATGAGCACTTGCTCTGTCTGCCTCAATCTATTAAAAATATTAATAACTGCCATTTATCACTTATGTGCTCAGTGTGTATACATCATGCACCTTAAGTTGGTCCTGACAATTATCCTGCCAGCAATCTTGATGTTATTCCCCGTTTTACAGGTGAGAAAACTAATAGATTACATGACTTGCCCAAGGCTACATAGCAAGTAGCAAATCTGGGATGAGAACTCAGGTCTGTTTGACTCCAAATTGATATACTAGTTGGTTAGAAAGGCTTTTCCAACTCTAACCGCCTACATGTCTATGGAGAGTAGTTGGTTGCCAGAAGTTTACAAGACCCTTGAAGTGGATCATTGTCTATGCACACCGTTTGTGAACTTCCTCCATGATGTCCTCTGGTAGAACAATTAGATTTAAAAATCATCTCTGGGTGCCATTACCAGCCGTTCACCTAGATTCTGCCAAGAGGCATTGGCAGCCAAATCAGCCAGGGAATTATGGATCTTTTAAGTCAGTGTGTTGTTATGGCTTGGAGTCAATATACCTGGATTTGAACCCCGGTTCTGCTACGTACCATGTTTGAAACCTTGGACAGGTTATTTTTTCAGCCTCTCATTTATAGAAAGGTATAATACTTCATATAGATGCTAATGAGAATGAAAGAGAATGTATGAAAGGTACCTTGCACTCATGAATGGCAATTGTTTTGTGAGAGGAGGGGAGTGCTGGAGCTATCGCTTGCTTTCCTGGATTTCAGTGATACTAGGGGTTTTTTTTGTTTCGCTTTTTGTTTTTTAAGCATCTCTGACAGTTTCCCCAAGATTCCCATCCCCTCTTTTACATCTCCCAGGATCTACTTACTGATCCTGTAATCAAAATCTCATGATTAAATGAACACTTCCTGAAGGCAGAGAAAGGAACTGAAGGAGAATTGAGTGGGTTGAAATGAGTTGAAGTGCCCCAAGATAAGGCTGTTGATTTTTCCCTTGACCTTTATTCTCCGAGTTATCTCGGCAGCATTATTATTACCCAAATGTTTGCAGAAGATGCAAGGGAAAATTTCTAGGTCCTTCAGTTTTAGAGGAAGACAAAGCATTTTTCTAGCAAACCCTATTATTGCTAACATTTTCTTTCCCAAAAACATATTTCCTTTTGGGTTCTTTTATATCTCCCCGATGGGTACAACTTTGGGGCTATGCTTCTGCAAGCCCCTGCTTACTGAGTTTGTCTTAGCTCTGTGCAGGTGCCTTAAATACCCAATCTAAACTGCATCAGCATCTTCTCTTCACACAGGACTGGGTGACTGTCAGATGGTAACCTCACTGACTTCCTTAAATTCAGTCTTGGCAGCCACGCCCAGAGAGTGACCCTGGATAGCAAGGAGATGGCTTCATACTTGATTAACATCCTGTTAAAGTGCAGGAGGAATAAATGTAGTTTTGAGAGCCAATGTGAAAAACCCTGCCCCCCCCCCAAAAAAAAAACAAGAATGTGTCACTAGTAGGAAGGACTTTTATGTCTTGTACAAAGAGGTATAGTGTTACTTTTATGTTTTCAACACTTTAAATGGTCTTTTCATACCTGTTTTTACTGAAAATTATAGCCCTGTGCCTTTCACAGTGCCTAACTCATAGTAGGTGCTCAGTAAATATTTGTTTAATTAATTGCTTATTGAGGTTCTCCAGTTTTGCTCATGGTTTAGTGTCCCAGAGTGCTGATGTGGGTTATGAGAAACGGTCATCCAGAGAACCACCCCATGGGGGAGACTCAAGCATTGGACGAAGATTTTGAAACTTCAGGTCATCTGTATTCTTTTGATTCCAGCATCAGGTAAAAGAATCTCCAGTGAAGGCTCAGAATTTTTATTAGTGAATTATATGTATCTGATGCCTTGGGTACATTTTGCCTCTTGAAAAGTGCCTATTCATTTCTTCTCATAGGCTGGGGTCTGGTGGTGGCTGCTGCTGCCGCCGT